AACCCTAAAGTCAACTCGACTGCGAGCGCCTCTCTGATCTTCGGGTCCTCGCTGAACAGAGTCAGGTGTACTCCCTCCATCGCTTCGCTCTCTCGGAAAGCTCGAAATGCTGTATCATTTGCCTCTGGGCAGCTCGGAATAGACGATCCACTCCACCTCCCTCTGTCTCCAGATGACGTTGGCCCCTACAGCGATGAAGCCTTTCTGACCTAAGCCTTTGTGGACTTGCTGGCCTGGCGCCCCAGCGACCAGCATGCCTGCCAGCGGCTGGAGTTGGACCGCTGCAAGGGACTGGCGCAGCAGCTGATAGCGATAGACGGCAGCTATCTCAGCCGTTGTCATGCCGCCCAAGGTTAGCAGGTGAGTCAGCTCTGCCAAGCTGCCCCCTTTGCCCCAGGGTCCTCTCTTGGCTCGAATCTTGAAAGATCGATCGTGCACGATGCTCACATGTACAGCTGTGAACTTGCGACCATCGATCGCGAAGTCCTCTCTTCCCTGCCAGAGCTTCTCCGCTTGTGCATTGCGGAGGAAGGAAACAGTCACCGGGATCTCCTCAGCACTCGCTATCTCGGGTCTATACGGAGCCTTCCACATGATTGCTTTACTCTCTTGCACTGAGTCTACGATCAGTCCGATCTCTTCAAATTTCTTCTTCAACTTCTCCTCATGGTTGACATACACCGAGGAGATGCCCAGGAGAGTCATGGAGATGAAGGAAGTCACCTCGTTGCCTGCTGAGGCGGTGTATGTCTCGACCTTCTCCTTCTTGGCTTCTTCAATCTGCTGCATAAACCACTCTCTGGATGCGTCACTCCATCCAGCCATCGCTTCTTGCAGAAGCTCACGTCGTGCCTGCTGACATGTCGAGCGGATGGCTTCTGCGATAGCGTCGGGGGTGCATCCCTCCACAGCCTTGCAAGCCTGGGCTGTCCTGCTGTTCGGATAACGCTTCGCGAAGCTCTTCACCCTCTCGACGAGATCAGCTTCGAGGACAGAGGCATCCACAAGTCCGCTCTGCGTGTATTGGCATGATCTCCGATACAGCAGGTTGCGAACATTTTCATCATACTGAAGAACCATACTTAGAAAGCTATTTGAAGTATACAAACCTCTCGCTTGCAGCTTCCTTGGCGCCCTGGCAGCTTCCCCTACACCACGCGTGCAGCCATGGTGCCTGAAATAACCCTAAACCCTAAACCCTAAACCCTAAACCCTAAATCCTAAACCCTAAACCCTAAACCAGGCAAGGAGCCATGCTGCCGACAATAACGGCCTTCTGCCGAAAATAACGGCCTAAACCCTAAACCCAAAACCGTAAACCCGTGTCCAGCGCTGCTCGCCGAGGTATGCTCTGAGCTTTTCCTTCAACATGTTTCGCTTCGTTCCCAGCGTCAGCGTGGCCGCCCAAGCTCCGAGCGTCATGAACTCCACGTTGCCCGGCGAGCAGAAGGTGTCATGCAGGTTGCCAACACTCTTGTGACGCTGCTTCCATGGTGATCCTGTCGATGTCGCTGAGCTCCAGCCATCTAGCGCCTTGCTGCTCAGTGCCCTTGGGGCTCTTGGGCTTGCTCCTCGCTGCTCGGGCTCCTCTCCTCCTCATGCTGAGGGTTGAGCTTAAAACCCACAGCTTCCAGCTTGACTTCCAGGATCCCTTCCAAGTAAAAGGGCATGTCGGTCGTCCATCAAGCGTCGAGTCTCTGCCTTGGTCGCCAGGGAGAGAGCTATCAGGCTCCCATTCCAGCTGAGCGTGTCACGATCCTCCTCGGACCTCGACGCTGACCAGCTTGAGATTTATTCTTCTTGCTAACTCCAATATGGCTCGCTTGACTCTCGTGATCGATGTGTTACCTCCTCCGCACAGCGCTTCCATCTCTTTCCTCGAGAAGCGGCCTGTGCTCATGCTTGACCTCGACTTGATCTGTACTCTAAAGCTGCTGTGCCTAGCTTGGTCCCTGTCGCGAAGTACCTTCCTCTGCTTGGCGATCTTTCCCCTAGGAACGAAGGTGTCTGCTGTGAGCTCGACTGCAAACGTCTCTCTGAGCTTGGCGTCGTCGCTGATGAGAGTGAGATGCACCCCCTCCATCGCCTCGCTCTCTCTGAACGAGACCAAGGTCTGCTCGCAGCTGGTCAACGTCGGGCATGTTAGTACCCATTCCACTTCTCGCAGCTGCAAAGCTCCAGTGCTTGCTCCAACAGCAACATACGTCTTCGGGCTCGGCCCCTTGCGACCTCTCTGCCCAGGACTCTGCACGAGCATGCCTGCAAGCGGTTGTACCTCTGCGGCTGCAAGAGATTGCGAGAGCAGCTGAAATCGATAGATCTGAGCGATCTCGGCCGTCGACATTCCTCCAAGAGCTAAGCGCTGCGATAGCTCGGCAAGGCTCCCTCCCTTGCCCCAAGGTCCTCGCTTGGCTCGAAGCTTGAAGGACCGGTCATGTGCAATGCTCACCTCTGTGGCTCGAAACGGTCTGCCGTCTATGCAGTATTCTCTCCTGCCTTCCGACCCATAGCTCCATGGCTGCTTCATTCCGAAGGAAGGAGACGGTGACTGAGATGTCGTCCGACAGTGCTCGTGCTATCTCAGGTCTGTAAGGTGCGACTGAGTCTACCATGAGACCCAGCTCCATAAGCTTCGATTTCAACTTGTCTTCTTGTCGAACATACATCATCGAGTCGAGGAAATCCCTAGGAGAGTCATGGAGATGAAGGAGGTCCCCTCGGTGCCTTCGGTGCCGATGTATGTCTCGACATTCTGCTTCTTGGCCTCCTCCATCTGTTGAATAAACCATGCTCTCGACTCTGAGCTCCATTCGCTCAGAGAGTCTTCAAACAGGTCGCGTCTCGCCTGCCGACATGTCGAGCGGATGGCTTCAGCGATAGCGTCGGGAGTGCATCCCCCCTCAGCTCTGCAAGCATAAGCTGTCCGACTATTCGGATAACGCTTGGTGAAGTTCTTCACCTTCTCTCATCATACTGTAGTACCATGCTTAGAATGCTTTTTGAACGATACAAACCTCTTGCTCGCAGCTCTTACTAAGGGCCGGCTCCTAAACCCTAAACCCTGCTTTTGAGTCCGGCGGCCTTGCCTTTGAGTCCGGCGGCCTGCTTCCTGCCAGACCGATGCCAGCCGCTAAATCCCGGGCCTCCCCAGACTGAGGCCGGGCTTAGCTGCGAGCAAGGGGTTGTACAGTTCAAACGCGGCAAGCGGGTGATGGTCGGAGCACGTGGTGGAGTGCGGGTTGCCGCTCTGCAACACAGTGACACCTTCCTGAGAGGGTTCGAGCAGGATCTTGAAGATGAAGATGAAGATCACGATGGCGACCCACTGACGTCCAAGCAGCCTAAAAATCAAGCCACTGCTAAATCAAGCCGGACTGCGAGCAATACAAGCGCGAAGTCGCCCTCCAGCAGGAGCGCCATGACAAACTCATGACGACCCAGCATAAACAGCATGTTCAGCTTTTAGCTGCTCTTCAACCGCTCGCGACGCGTGCGGGAACCGAGTAGCAGCGGCAGCTAAAGAGAGGGGAGCATCACTCGCTCCTCCTGCCGCTGGTCTTTGTCCCAGCCCTCTCTTACCGTAGTACCAGGTAGCAGCGCTTTACCTTCTCATCGGAGCTCGCTAAGCCATTTCGTGCTGCCGCGGAGGCTGATCGGAACGCGTCGTGCTCAACGGCCGCGTCCCTTCCTACGGTTCAACTCCATGTTTGCCCCTGCTTAGCCCTCAGCCGTCAGCTACAGCTCGCCTTACCCGATCTTATTCGGCTCCCCGTCAGCATCAGCTCTTCTCGAGTTCATGCTCACCAGACCGTCGCCCTGCTCGACCACGGCGCGACGATCAACAAACAATCTCATCTTTACTAATCAGATGGGAGAGAAGTACACGCCGGGGGTTGTTGCTTGCGCAGCAAGTCCAATTCATCCCTCAGAGGACTGAATTGCTTCTTCACGAACCAGATGTCTTGAGCTATGTTGAGGAACGTAAATCTAAACACTGAGAGGCAAGCAAAGGTAGAATAATTAAATGCATTTCATCGATCGATCTGCTTGTGCAGCTCCCTCAAAATCTTTTGATGACTTATGAATTCCAACAGGTAGAAACAGAGCAAAGAGAGTCAAGCGAGAGGATTGAAGGAAGGGACGTGGGAAGGAAAAGATTTGAAAGGCAGCAGAAAACGAAGAAGAGAAGATGGTGATTGATGAGAATGACGAGGAGGGATGTGGCTTGATCACAGCATCACTGAGATGCTTTTCGCATCTTTTTGTTGCGGTGATTTTAGGCTTTTTTCGTTCCACTTTGATTTTATTTCAATTACCTCAAAACTTAACAAATCGGGCGAATCTTCATGAGAGCACACCTTTTTTCTCCCTTCATGCACTTGATTCATTTTTATCACCTCCATTCTCTACTCACATCTTGAGTTTCTAAAGATCACGTATCTCTTGTGCCCCTCCGCTGATTTCAGTGCCGCGAACTCTTCCAGCAGCAGCTGCAGCTCGCAGACGTGCCCAGCTACCCCCCACCTCTTCGCCCCCTCGTGGATCAACCGCAAGTTTATCCCCACGTCCCTGTAGCCTCCCGACGTCGACGCGTCGTAGTCCGGGTCGAGCCGGTTCTTGATCCTCACCACCTCCACTTCCGGGTCGTTGATGATGACCTCCACGCACTCGACAAGCTGCCGCAGCTCTTTGAACACGATCGTCTGACGGACCACGTCTGTGAGCTTCGAGACTCTCCCAAAGTAGGACCTGACGAGCTTCTCGATGGCTCTGTTAGCGTTCTTGATGGACGCCCACTTGACCTGCGACGCCTTTTCTGCCTCCTCTGCGCACTCCCTCCAGCGAATTAGATCCCCCTCCATCCCCTGAAAATATCCGTCGCTCGCCTCCGCCCAGGACTGCACCTTGCTCAAGAACATTGGCTCCAGCAAGATCGCCTGCGCGTACAGCTGGTCGAGGGACTCAATCTCCCTGTCCTGCTTCATAATCGTCCCCTTTGACCGCTTCAAGTAAGTCCTAGCAAAGCTGCTGTTCTTTGTCTCCTCAACACGCTCGACAGCGGGTCAAGAATCGTAAGCTCCACCTCGCACAAGGCATCGAAGATCTTCAACTGCAGCGCTGGCTGCGGCCTTACCCGCCCGCATGTTATCTTGAGGGAGCTCAGGAGCTGCTGAGTTTCCTCCCGGGATAGCAAGTCCTTCCAGCAGTCGTCGTACATCTTCTGGTCTCCTCTGATCTGCCACCGAGACTTGTAGACGATGAACTTTCTGTTCAACACGAAGAAGATAACCAGAGCAAGCAAGACTAGGCTGCTCAACCCGATGTCTGACTCCTTGAGCTTGGACGCGTCCCAATAGTATTGAGCTAGAGGAGGCAGGAAGGCTGAGATCGTGCAGTAGACGACGAAGGCCTTGAGCATGTAGCGCTCTTGGAACTGAACCACAAGACCCACCGACACGTCGAGCACTCCCCATGCGATGAAGAAGTCTCTCCGATTGGCATACAGAGACTCGGGGGACAAAGCAGCAAAGATCTCAAAAAGTCCGACAAGGTGGAAGGCAGAGGTAAACAAGAGCTTTGCGAGCTGAACCTTCCCAAGCCGGGCGAAGAATGCGGCTCCTAGACAGCATATGCTCTGCAGCATCGCCATGAGGAATATGCAAGTCGCTTGCCAGGTGAAGCGCAAGTCAACAAGAAGAGACTCGTCAGCACGAGGCAAAAAGTCTGATTGACAAAGAGGCAACGAAGGGAAAAGCTTGCAGCTTACCGAAGGAGGAATGACATATTTCCATTCCTTTCTGTCAACCGCCACGTCCTCAACGCCCTCTTCAGTCAGGTAGTGGAATGTGAGCGCATCTGTCTTGAGGTACGACATGAGCGCCGGAGTCAGCTTGATTTTGAAGCCATTGGGATAGACCAGATGAGGGAACGTGAAGAAGACCTTGTTCGCGACTGTCACGGATGAAGTCCAGTTGTACACCTGACAAGAGTCTCTGACGAGGAGAAAGTCTTCTATCCTCACGCTGTGGTCTTTGATAGAGATGTTCATGTTCTTGTACCCTTCAAATGTGAACCTGGCATGCCTAACAGGTAAAACGTGATTGGTGAAGATTAAATTCAACCGAAAGTTGTTGCTGTAAAGAATGATAAATCCGATCCCCGCAAGCAGCAGCAGCAGCTGAAACAAAGTCTTGTGCAGAACGTTCTTCAGCGGGTGTGACGAATACAGAATGCTCGTTGTATCAGCTTTCGACACGCCATGACCAGAAGATGTCAGGTATTTGTCCAGAATATTGCCGGGATACATGCTCTTGTAGATAAGCAGCGAAATGTCGGATTTCTCCTGCGCGAGAGACTTTGAATAACCCATGGAGCTCGACATGTGGGTAGGAAGCAATGTCGCCGACGACGTCGACGACCGTCTCCTCCTGTCCTGATTTCTCTCTGTTTGCTCGTTCCCCCTCATAACTTCCGTCTCTTGTGATTGCCTGAAACGAAGAACGGTCTTCATCGACAAATACAACGCATGATGCTGCGAGTCTATAAGGGCATGGAGCGATTGTACCGCCAGTCTCAGCTCGCAGACGTGCCCAGCTACCCCCCACCTCTTCGCCCCCTCGTGGATCACCCGCAAGTTTATCCCCACGTCCCTGTAGCCTCCCGACGTCGACGCGTCGTAGTCCGGGTCGAGCCGGTTCTTGATCCTCACCACCTCCACTTCCGGGTCGTTGATGATGACCTCCACGCACTCGACAAGCTGCCGCAGCTCCTTGAACACGATCGTCTGACGGACCACGTCTGTAAGTTTCGACGTATCACCATTGCACAACAGCAGGATCTTTTCGATGGCTCGGTTAGCGTTCTTGATGGACGCCCATTTGATTCGAGAAAGCTTGGAGCTGTCGTCCTTGCAGTCTCGCCATCGAAGGTAGTGCTTCCTCTTTGCTGACGGGATGTTCATGAGGAAATATCCGTCGCTCGCCTCCGCCCAGGACTGTACCTTGCTCAAGAACATGGGTGACACAAGTACCGCCTGAGAATACAGCTGGTCTAGATCCTTGCCCTCACACTCCCGCGCGTACTGAACTATCATGCTCGGCTGTGACGACGACGGAAGGGTAGATGTCGAAGAAGACAGCAGGGACTGTCGTCTGAGCCATGTGATCGAGTTCCCCCCCCCATCTCCTTCTTCTACTTCTTGAGACATTGTTGATTTAACCTGAGCCCGGCAGACAGCCTCCTTGAGCTCCTGTACCGCATTGAGCTCTCTCAGCTGCCTCCACTCTTCGTCGAACTGCTCTCCGAGGCCCGCTGCCTTGTTCATCATCCGCCTCCGAATCCCCTCTCGCAATCCAAGCAACGTCGCAAAGAAAACAAAGATGGCAAGGCACTTGTACGGTACCGTCGAGCTTGCAGCGATGCTGATAATTCGAATGAGCGACCCCACTGCTATCAGCTCAATTGTGTATGCTTCCCATCGGATCAAAGGTAGGGGAAAAATCAACAAGTCCTGCCAACACAAAGTTCAATCAACAACCTTGACAACTGCCTCTGTCTCACCGTGAGCATGGCGATCAAGAACACATACCATGTGGTCCCCATCACCGTCCTTTCGCGTGCGGTGAGCATCATCTGTGTAAACACACACAAGTTGCAAGCCGCATCTATCAGTCCACCCACTATGATGATCTGCAGGCAAACAAGACAGCTTGAGCAATCAATATCACTGCCCACACAACTTCTCACCTGCTTGACTAGCCTCACACTCACCATGCTCAACATTCCTGCAGCCATAGCAATCACACCAACAAGGAAGTTGGTGAACACCTCCAAGAACGACTCCCAACCACATGCTAGCTTTCCTGTTTCCGTCATGTCTGCCATGGAAAACTGTCGCACTCTCTCCTCAATCAGGTACGCGAAATACCCCGACCCGTGCACCTCCTTTACCTTGAGCGCTATCGCCACAATCCAAGCAAACCCCCCGGCACCGAGCAAGAAGCGAAACCCAGTGAGCGCCATCGCTGCTGAGATCGGATCTTGTGAGAAGAGAACAAGCTTTGGCCTCTTCTGGTATATGACATTCTTGTTGAGGCTTCGCTGCATGTTGTCTCCTGGCAGCTGAGTGTACATTCGGACGAAGTTGGAAGTGAATTCTTGGCGCGCCTCCCAGAAATCTTTCAGATCCGTAGGAGAGATCAGACCCGACGAGGATTCCGATTGAATTGCCAATGAAACCTCCATGTCTTCGTCACGAGAAGTACCAGCACAGTTGGCGATGTTGGCTTCTTCAGTCATAGCCTTTTTGCTGTTTTCCCTTGTAGTTGGATGTCTCCGTCTCCGTCTCCTCTACTACTCTCCCCTCTTCTCTTGTCTATTTGCACTCCTTAATATTCTTCTTCCCTTTGATTTTCCCTCGCTCTTCTTCTCTTCTGGCTTCTCTTGTCTCTTGTCTCTTGTCTCTTGTCTTCTCCTAGGCGTTCGCCTCCTGCTTGCCTTCAGCCTGTACCTCCTCTCCTGTCGCCTCGAGCATCCCAGCCTCGCCAGAAAAAAAAGGCTGACCATCTAATTTAATTACAATAATGGGGGGTACGAGAGCTTGCTAGTGGGGGTCCACAGAAGATTTATAAGAGCTTTACTTTAGTAATAACACTTTACTAGTAGTGTCAGGGTCAGCGAGGTAATTTTAAATAATAAAACACTGTCAAATGCTGTAAAATTGAGTAAAGTAGACATTGGCGGTTCGGAGTTGCCGGAGTTACCGGACATCTAAGCCTCATTGATTGAGTAAGTATTTCGGTACTAAGAAGCAATTTTCAGTCGGTTTGAACCGACTTGGAGGCTTTGAGTAAAAACTTGCCGAAATCCGGCTAGAGGTCTCTAGGTACCCCTGTAGGTACCCATATTACCCCTCTCTGCCGTGAGCCCTAAACCATGTATGTTTAAAACCATGTATGTTTAAAACCATGTATGTTTAAAACCATGTATGTTTAAAATCATGTATGTTTGAAACCATGTGTGTTTAAAACCATGTATGTTTAAAAACTGGATAGTAGGCTTTTTAATTCATCAAGTTTACAAAATCACAGATGGGGGAAGTTAAGTTAAAAATCAGTACGAGGACAATCAGGAGAGTTGACCCTGATGACTCTATTAGTTATTACTACTAATAAATGTCGCACGGCGCGGGGGGATGGTCATGCGCGCATTTAAAACAATAAGTGACTGAGGTATCAGTTAAGTTTGGGGGACAGCAGTTGGCAGTATAATCGTTGGTTCTCGCTGTCTTTTCTCTTCTCTCAAGCCTCAGGAGTCCTCACTGTCAGGCTGCTCTCCTGATTGTCCTCGTACTGATTTTAACTTAACTTTGAGTAAACGCCGAATACTCTGGAGTCAAGTTTCAACTTGGCAAGCATGGTTGAACTACTTGGAGTATAATAGATGAAAAGTGGTTGAAAGTTCAAGTGTTCTCGCACACTACTGAATGACTCACGGTCACGGTCCGAATCGGACTTGAAGACACTGGCGCGGCCCGGGGCCGGTGGCCACTAACCGTACTACCAAGGAATCGGATGATGCCCGGTCATTCTGTTGATACAACCCTGACCGTCAGCGAGGAGTGCGATCACACTGAAGCAATGTTACAGTCGAAGTAGATCAGGCAGAGGTGGTAGAGATTTTGCAGCCTCTCAAGCACGTCCTCCCTTGTTACCTGCCCATAAGTCAGTGAGATCCTCGGGCTCTTCGAGACGTACTTCTTCTTCTTCTTCTTCATTGCTCGTCTGCAATCCCGTCATCTCAACGCTTGTCTCAACAATGTCACACCTCTCTTGTCACAAAGAGCTCGAGCATCTCAAACACAGAGATTTCTCCATTGCAACTGCGGACATTGTGAATCGATCAACTCCAATGCTTGACGATGTCACCTTGCAAGGATCTCGGACTCCAGGGAATCCGTCAAAACTCTACATGTAAATGTTGATAGTTGCATCATGATAAGCAGGTCGGTCACCTCCATTCATCTCCCACTGACGTGATGGAGGACGGCATCGATACTCTGACTCGAGTCACAACTCCCTCCCCTCCCTCCCCGATACTCTCTGAAGTCTCACACGCGAATATTCCCTGCCATCACGCGTCAGCATCTCACCTCAATCGCACGACCTTACAGCCATGCGAGGATACACAGCGCTCAGCTCCTCGTCCGAGCTCAAGTCCAAGGAAGGGAACGGTCTCCTTGAGATGATCCACTTGGATTCCATGAAAAGCTTCTCGATGGAGCCTCTAGCGCTCAAGAACGAGCGGATGCCGTCGGAAGGGGATTCAGTGATGGGCTCTGACTTGATGGTGTTGAACGATGTGTTTAGAACCATCGGCACACCCGTCAGTCGGAAGAATGCCTTGATGAGAGCGTAGTAAAGCGGTTCGGAATCTTGAGTCACAGTCTGTAGACGCGACGTTCCATCGACATGCGTGACTGCTGGAATCTTATCTCGCTTGTCATCCTTGACAAAGCTGGTGATGGACATGTATGGGCTCACGTCCCCTTGGCTACTTCCAGCAGGAATCCCTTCAAACCACTCATGCGCCTCTGCCAGGTCGTCAGCAACAGCTCAGGCCTCAACACGAGGGCTACCTGCTGCAAGCACAGAGGGCGCGAAAGGACGGAAGGCTTCTCTCCCCTTGACTTTGCTATTGATGAACGACACCATGCTGGCTTTGCGAGGATCAGCTAAGATGCTTCTATGCCCGAGGGCTCGTGGACCAGCCTCTGACCGCCCTTGCCACCAAGCGATGACCTGCCCGTCTGCCATCTCTTGCACCATGCGATGAACAAACTCGTCGACACTCTGTGCCTCTTCGATCAGAAGCCAAGGAAGGGAAGAGTCCATGGCTTCCTGAAGGTCAGTAAGGGAGTACTTCGGGCCTTGATACGGTGAGAGGGGCCCAGCCCAGAGCTTGGGAGATTGCTCTTGTTGCTCAAGTACCTTGCGACCATGCTCAGAGAATAGGCCAAAAGCGCAGCAGCCAACAGCGATGCCGTCATCTCCGGGATAAGGAGGAATGTATACTTTATCAAAGCCCAGCTCTCGACTAATCCTGCCGTTCAACACCGAGTTGAGCCCAACTCCGCCGACAAAGCACAAGTTCTTAGCCCCTGTGTGTGTCTTGAGATCCTTGATCAGCTTCAAGGTAATCGACTCAAGGTCCTTCTGCACCGCATACGCAAGTTTTGACGCTTCTTCAGCAACGGCCGAGTACTTGGTGGTCTCAGACCAATCGCCGGCGTCTAGTCCAAATTTCTGTCCTGCTAGAGGGGTTTTCATCAATTCCTCGCGGTTAATATCGAGCTTATTCTCAAGTAAATCTCCTCGCATGATTGGAGGTGGCAGCGTGCTGTCTTTGCTCCACAGACTGTGCCAGGGGGCAAGACCCATTACCTTGCCGCAAGCATTCCAATCTCCAAAAATGTTGCTTGACACTCGACTGTAAACCGCGCCGACGGACTCCATGTTTTCAAACCCGTGATTGTACAGCTCAGGAGGAGACAATTCCTCTGTCCATCTTTTCATTACCCGACTGAATCTGATGGTGTTTGTCGTTCTGTCTCTCTTAAACATGTAAGCTGACTCTGCCTCCCGAAAACCGTGCCGAGCTTTTGTCCATTCCTCTTCCACATTCTGCTTTGACAAGCACTTCTGATCTTCGGCCAGGGCAAGGTCATGGAAGTAATTCTTTTCTTCCCTCGCTTTAGCTGACTGCATGGCTGAGAATGACTCGCCCATTCCGTCCATCACCACCACCAGCCCCTCGTCAAACGGGGCCTGCGCTGCGACACTCCATGCGTGCGCGAGGTGATGCGAGAGCTCGAGGTGTTTCGCCCCGGGCAAGAGATTAAGATCGCTTGTGTAGCTCTCAGGAATGTGCCCGAGAGCTGCCGACCAGGCAAGTTGCTCATGCTGCTCCTCGTAGGGCAAGACACGAAAGTGATGATTGTTGCTCACTACCAACGTGACGTCGTGCAGGGACAGGTCGAGGGCCTCGAGCGCTGCTTGCATCATTCCTGCAATGTCACCTCCATCGTGCTTGCGACGTGAATGTCTTTCTTTCGACCAGATCAAGAGAGGATCCCCGGTTTTGCAGCATGTGATGCACACAGAGGTATCATGGCTATACTTGTTCACTCCAATCACCACCCCTTCCTTGGACACGGCTTGAACTCCTCTCAGTCCCGTGCTAGTTTCTAAACGCTTTCCATTTGGTGTTCTTACTTCTACAAACCTTCTGTGCGGAGACAGCAGATACCTTGAGCTTCTGCTGAGCGCGTTGAATGAGAAACAAGAGAGCGGATGGTTGTGCGATCTTAACAGAGAAGGTGCAGGTGCAAATGAAGTTCCAAAGCATGCTCCACGTGAAGCTCCTGGAGCATGTGCTCCTGCTCCTGCTCCTGCTCTTGCCGCTCCTGCCAAGCACACAACTGCCATCACCGCGACCCCCACATAATTCGCCATTGCAATCCGACCCCCCGACATCCCTACACTACACCCTGTTAGATGACCCTACCCTGCTCCTGCTCTGACCCCCACCCCTCCATGATAAACCTAAACCTATTACCTAGCCTAAGCCAGTCTAATCTGAATCTAGCTAAACCTCCTCGAGTGACTACACTACCTAAAGAGGGTTTAGATCTGTGGAGTTGAGTCAGCACCTCCCTGTTCCCCACCTCGCTAGCTCTGCTTTTACGATGACCATGCTGCCGCTGGCACCACGCGAGCGAAAGGAAGAAGAAGAGACGATAGAGGAGAAGAAGAGACGAGAGGAGAAGACGAAGTAGAAGTTTATCGCTGAGAAAGTAGAGCTATAGTGGATGATCGTGTTACCTTTGCACTGGCACAACGTTTGGAGCAGCCGCTGCAATAGGATAGTGTCGAGAAAGAAACGATGGAAAGAACTACTGCACATTTACAGAAGCAGAGAAGTAGCGAAAACAGGCTAAGATTCCCACAGGACACGATGTTGGTAAATATGAGAGTGCGATGCGATGAAGGGAATGAAAGCAGGAGGAACAGGAGGATAGGTTGTTTTATATGAATTGTGAAAGTTGTTTGACATGGGTCGTGAACGCCAAGAGGGAAAGACTTGAGCACAAAAAGAGCTTGAACAAGAAGCGTTCCATTGACTGTGTTGTTCTTCGCTGCTTCGTAGGATGATCCGGCGTTTCCTCCTGGTCAGCTTGGGGATGATTTGCCTGGCCCAGCAGCAGGTGGCAGGAGGAAGCAAGGCTGTGACTGGCGCACACTGATAAGGTCTCTGAGGCAGGATGCTGTCAGCAGTCGTGATGTGAAGGGCTTCAGACGGATTGTGAGCCATGTGAACTCGATGGCGAAGTCGGAGAAGGCAGCGGCCATCGCACAGGCATCAGCAGCCGGAGCGGTCGCACAGGTGAGACGCTAATGATGATCAGGTGGTGGAGGTGGTGGAGGAGAGGAGAGGAATGACGACGAGGACGACAAAAAAGGGGTGGGTGGGTGGGGAGGAGGAGGACAAGAAAGAGGGAGGAGGAGGAGGAGGAGGAGGAGGAGGAGGAGGAGGAGAGCTGTTAATGACATACCGCAGGCTTCTATCGCGTATCAACAAGGTGAAGGCGACCCCTCGCAGGGGATCCTCCCGCCCATGATGCAGGACCTACGAGCACCCCCGGTGAGGCTGAGGCGAGTTTTGGAACATGAGACTGATGTGAGAGCAGGAGATGGGGAGCTGGAGCATTCCTGCTCGCTTCCTTCCGCTTGGTGCGACGTGCAAGCAGACATGTAAAGTAGCTCCTCAAGTTCCTGAGTGACATTGCTGCCAGGTGTTGGTCGATGCGAACCGACTTGCCAAGATGCGAGCCGGTCGGAAGGGTCGTCAGGAGGCGGGAGGAGGCACGACTGTGCTTCTCTCTGTGACAGCATGTGCGAAGAAGGATGCCAGCATGTCAACGAAAAACGAGGGAGACGGTGCTCAGAGATAGCGACTGCATCCCAGGCTGCATGAGCGAATGTTTGCCCGCTTGCATGAACGTATGGGAAACTGTTACCCGCGCTCGCTGACTAGACAGCAGGGAACAAACAGTGAGAGGCGCTGCGGGACAGAGTGCGACGAGTTCTGCAAGAGAGACTGCAAGGAGCAGAAGACATTAGGAAGAGGGGGAGAGGAAGAGGGCAAGGGATCAGTTGATGATGAGGAGGGTGAAATCGGAGGAATGGCGACTGATGGCATGGATGGAGAGGACTTGAAAGAGGACGAGGACGGAGAAGATTTAGTGGGAGAGAATGGCCTGGGGGATGGAGGTGACGGACTAGGCGAGGGGGAGCTGGGAGATGAGGCGATGCCCGGAAGCGCGAACTGTGGAAAGAGCTGTGCGAACAATTGCGATGAAGAATGCCAAGACGACGAGGAGGATGCACAGTCAGCTTGCCGCCAGCAGTGCAATGAGGAGTGCAGGTTCTTGTGTGCTCCCCTTGGTTCCACTCTAGCCAGCACGGATGGCGACAAACTATTGGACGAGCAGGATGAGGAGGAAGCGAACGTGCTTAGACGTCACCCTCAGCAGTCTACCGACTGGCTGTGGCTGTTTCTTGCTTTCATCGTCCTGGCAGCGATCGCTCTCGTCGTCTTCAAGAAGCATCTCCACCGCTACCGCCGCATCTTCGCCCTGCGACTGGTTTGACAACACGTGAGTGTGAAGAGAGCGGCAGGTGCGACCTGAGAACTGCTGGGGTTAAGCTCGACGTCAAGGCCAGCAAATAGTTCAGCTGGTAAGGAGCAAAGGTTCATTTCAACATGCAGAAACTGAGATATAAATTGACACTGAAAAAGGAAAATAAAATTTCAAAAACTTCTAGTGGCTGGCGGATGCAGCTCCGACCGTTGACGTCACCTGAAATCTTGTCACATTTCGTTATTCACCGACCTGGTCACCTCATGCGGAGACTTCGTTGCGGCCTTTGACGCCAGCTTGCCTGCAGCTGGAGGAACGACAGCTGACGACGACTTTGGCGAGACGATCTTGCCTCCTCCGGACACCTAAGACGAAAAAAAGATGAGAGATCAAAACGAGGATGAGAAAAGAAAAGAAGACTGGACAGAGAGGGGATGAAAGACTGGACACAGAGGGGATGGAAGACTGGACAGAGAGGGGATGGTTGTAGCGAGTTAATTGGGGCAACAGGAAGCTGTAGAAAAGGAGGACGAGTAGGAGGAGGGCGGAGGGAGGGAGGAGGAGGGGAAAGGGGAAGGAAAGATTAGGATTACCTTTTGGTGCTTTGGCTCTGAATGGAGAGAGAGCGAAGAGGAGACAACCTTGAGCGCCTTCGCGCGCGGAATTTGATGCAAGCTTGGTGATGTCACGTTCGGTGAGGACATAAGAGGAGGTGGCAGAGATGCACTTGTTGACTGAAGCAAATTACCTCTAGTCAGTACACGTCCAAATACCAGAACAGAACAGAACAGAACAGAACAGAACAGAACAGGACAGAGCAGTTGCTGCGCTGCCGTCACGAGACTCAACGACTCACGTTGCTCTCTGAGGAGTTGTTGACTGTCGGCACAGGATGGGCTGGGCTTACAGCTTCGTGATCATGCTGCTGGACCTCAGCAGGAACCAAGCACGGAAAATCCTGACCTGGTCTGCCACCGCGTGGACGATCTTGACCTTTGGCGAGGGCTTCCTAACCGTCTTGTGCACCAAAGGCTTTCCAGTGATGGCCTCTATGTCGCTTTCTCGCTGGCGGAAGGCTTGTAAGAGCGAGAGAGCAGGGAGGAAGCAGCTCGCCTGCTTGATCTCCCTCTGATAGATGGCTGCTTCTCTTTGCTTCTCGGCCTCGTGCTGTCTTTTGATCTGCGCCACGTCATCCGAGAGATCGCGACATGGCGACTTGCCTGCGACTTGAGCGCCTGCTGATCAACTCCATCGCTCAGACCGCCGGTGATCGCCATGACGTCAGACGCCTGCGCCTGGGTCTCCTTGTCGTGAGCAGTTCGCTGAGGACAAGGTGAGACGAGACAGGCAAGAGCGTCTACCACCTCCTTGGCGTATCTCGTTGCCAGCCTCTTCCGCTCCGCATCAAGCGCGTCAAAAGCGTTGAGGGCCTGCCATTACGTTACTTCTCATGCGGTTGAGACTTGATCCGCAACAAACCTGAGAAGCTTGATGGTCTTGCATTTCACCCTGCTGGTGGTCAGATCGGGCGTCTCAGCTAGACACGCTCTACCTCCTGCCATGCTGTCGTGTGCTCCTTCGCAATCTGCCCAGCACCCAATCGTCACCAAGAGGCTCTACCCGCAGCCCTGAAGCTCTTCACCTTGGCCAAGGCCTTTCTCACTTGCAGACCCTCCGACCTCTCGCGCCTGACGAGGGATCGGGCGTGCTGGGCATGCAGCTGCGACATGAATGTCAAGAGACGACATGAGACAGTCTGACTCACGATCCTCTCCTTCTCAATCTCTCGCCTGATCCTCTCCGTGAACTCCTACAACCCCGTCAGTTTTCTCGCAAGCACCTGGAGGTCCCACCTTGTCTCGATTCTGCACTGATTGCACGGCATCATTGTACGAGCTTTCATATTCTGATTTGTTCTGCGACATCTTAAGCATCTCCCAAGAGACAGTCTGCATGACACCTTTCGCTCCTTCTTCAAGGCTTGTTTGAGAGAGGTTTCAAACGCAGCATCGCTAGATGTAACATAGCCGTCTATTGCACTCTTCTTGGATTTCTGTATATCGTCAAGGGAAACTCACTCAGTTCAAAATCATACAAGCTGCATCAGCTTCTCGTGCTCGCGCATGTGCTCGGCGTTGACCATGCTCTTCAACTTTTGCTGGACGCAACAAGTCAAGACAAGAGCAGGAAAGAGAGCGGGGACAGCAACCTGAAAGTGAGCATCGCGGCCCTCTATGCCTTTCTTCTGCGTCTCGATCATCCTGTCGTAGGACTTCTCCGAGTTCAGCTGCTCCTCAGCAGTGCGGCTGTCTCTCTGCAGCTCGGAGGAGGATTCTTTCTTGACTCTTTCGTTGAACTTCTTGTACTTTGAGTCGGTGCCCAACTTCAACAGCTTGCTTGCAGCTGGCTGTGCAGAAGCATGCATGTCAATGGGTGCAGACTTCTTGTTGTCCCCCCCCTTCACGAGCGATGAGATCATCTCGCTCGCTCCCTGCAACTCGATCAGAGGGGAGTCAGGGGAGCACTGAAGGAGCTGAGGGCAGCGATGAGGAGGAAGGGAGAAGGGGCAAGGGAAGCGAGACGGGAGGAGGGGAGGAGAGGAGGAGGGGAGGAGGGGAGGAGGGGGAGAGGCGGGAAGGGGAAGGGGAAGGTAAGAGGTTAGCAGAACAAGGGCAGGTAGAAGTGAAGATAGGGGGGATTGCGAGGTTCATCACACCGTGACGTTTCCTTGCAAGACATTTGCTAGAGTTACAAGCGCCACAACGAGGCCAATGCCGAAGGCCACAGTTGCTGCTACTCTGAGATTTCTTCGCTTGTCGTCTTGCATACTGTCAACTCTCTCACAAACTTCTTGCAAGAATCCCTTCTTCAACTCACCCTTGAAACTGATCTCCTGCTTGCATACTGCTTGAGAAGCAGTTCACGAATGTCACTAGAGAAAGAGAATCTGAAAAAAGACAATCAGTCTCGTATTTTTAGCATATGATTCGTTCGGATTATGCATGTATAGCATTCATCACGTCTCCTTTGCCACTGATACTGCCACACTATCCTCTCTCGTTGGATCTACCTCCCGCCAATGCTTGATGCGCTAACAAAAGGCTTCCATCCTAAGCCGGGTAACACCGTCATGCTCTACGTGTGAATGTTTATGCTGGTGAGTCAGTTTCTATTCTACATCTTTTCGTTCCTGTGCATGCCTTGTTCAAACTTTGGCATTGGAGCTGGATTAAGAAACAAGATAGCTCTCACGTTGCGAGGACGCAGACGATCGTCTCTCCTCTCATCGTCAAATATTCTCATTCATCTTCTCCCTTTTTGACTCTCTCCTGCTTCCCAACCCCTTCACCCTCCCTCCTTCCTCCCTCCTCCGATCGCGTTCATACATCTCTCCTCCGCCATTCTGCGGCAAGATCGCATTGACCTTCCAGATGTCCCGGTCCCGAAATTGTACTACCCTACATGGATAGTGAACATACTGTTAGTATTATAGGGTAGGGTGTATCACCCCACCCATACATTTATGATGCTGTGGGTCAACGCTCCGCTTGCAGTCTATTTCTGGCTGGCACTCCAAAGGAGTGCAAGTGGGGGTGGTAGACGGAACCAGCATGGGTACTAGGTAGTACCGGTCCTATTCTCGAGATTCAGGGGTAGGGTACTTAGATTCCCCGACTGGCAAGACCAAGGATAGGAGGAGGAGCAGCAAAAGCAGCAGGGAGATGGCAGAGAGTTGCTTTATGGAGCTAATCCTGCTTACCTCTTCATCGCCCTCAATCCTCTTTCATTCTGTCGTTCCATTCACAGTCTTCGTCTCACTAGATTCGCAACACTTTTCTAGCTTCATTTTCAAGACAAGGCAAGAGAAAAATGGGAGAAGTTTTGTAAACCAAAGGTCGATAATAACCAGCTTTAATCCATTTCATATTCATTTCTTCCCTTATGCTCCCATGCTCTGCAGCTTTTGCCAAAAGGAAATCTATTACAGACATACAGTCAGAAACGACAATGAAAGCGCATATAGACCCACCTGTGCTTGAGTGACGGCAGCCAGGTATTGCACCATAAGGATGTCCTGCAGTCCTTTGCTGCACATAAACTTGTCAAGCAGAGCTCATGCTACACTCTGCAGAAGAGAAGGAGGAAGAAGAACCGGCAGGAAACAAAAGGGTGGTCGTCACCTGAAGGAAGTGTCGAACTCGGCAGCGCTCATCTCCGGCACCATCGCAATCGTCTCGGCAAGGGCGCGGCCAACCTGCATAGGATGAGACGATGTAAACACAAATATGGACCAAACAAGCAGAGGGAAGTGACGCATGTAACATGTGGGATCAAGACTAGAGTCAGGTTGACAAAGATGGGAACACCCTTGAGCTAGAGGGAGACAGAAAGCGAACAATGCATGCGAAAAAGCACCTTAGTGTCTGCCTCAACATTTCCATCCAGAACGTCGTCAACATGCTGAATGGACTGCAATTTGTCAGGGGAGGGCAGAGGTCGACGAGGTCGAGCTCCACCTGGTCTATCATCATCATGAGCTTGTGCATGCTGCTCTCCAACTTCTCGAGGTCTGTTCCAAGAACTTCACCACCGCCCTACCGATCCATCGTGTCAGCCCGCGCGAAGACGAGGAGGAGGGAGGGGTGAGGCTGACCTGCCCGATGGTGTTGTGAGTGATGAAGTCGACTCCGATCCTCTCAGCCTCGTACGCGCGAATGTGGCATGTCACTCTAATTTAAACGTCATCCCTTGAATCAGGTGCTCGAGGTGTAGGTTGCAATACCTCGAGAAGCACTTGCCGAGCACAAGCTCAGGAGCAGTCTGTCGAACACGTAAGGGCATGCATCATACACATGAAGTTCGACAAGTTGAGAAAGAATCAAACACGTGTATCCACAGTCAACAGGGAAAGGAGATGAGCAGTGAAGATTTACGTGCAGGAGTGGGATCACAGTTGGTAAAAGACGTGTGGGAGCAAGAAAGGGAGTAAGGGAACGATACCTTGTCGCTCCGAAGAGACATGTTAGAGCTGGTGAACGCGCTGACCCCCAACTTGCTTGCTCGCTGAAAGGAAATAAGTCAATGTAATCACAAAATTCATCCAAAGACGACCTGAATGTTGCAGTCCACGCGTACGAGCACACAAGCATGTCTGCTACCCACAGTGAGAAAGGTCTCGAACACATTTTTTCAAATACTTCTCGCCAACTTTTTCTTCAAAGAAAGAGTGAAGGGCTACATCCTCCTCTCCAACCTAACAAACATTCAGAGTTTGTACACGATCCCTCGAAAGCATTCACCTCGTCTTTGTCGTCATCCGTGGATTTGGTGGTAGTGTACCATCCAACAACCTACAAGTCGATGTCACGTTGCCGTCTTGCAGCATCGGTTACGATCACATGCTCCCTTGCGTTCACTTTTTGATGGAGGGCTTCCATGGTGTTAAAGAAAAGCCCGAAGTCCTAGCGACGAGCATGAGCGCATACTGACAGTTGCTAGTTCCCTTACTTGATGTGTGACGTCATCGTGATTCATGGGGAACGAGTTTCTGATGGCGACACTGAGAGGAGCGACAATCAGTTTCTTACAGGTTTTTCTCATGCCATGTTCTCTTCTACCTTCCATCCGCATTGGCGCTACCAAGAAGCGCTCCGACAACCCTTCCAGTCTCATCATTCCCTGCAAAGACGTCACAAGCTTGCCCCTCGATGGTTTGATTTGTCACTTCGCGTGTGGTGGTCCAAGACCTGGAACATGACGAGCTGTCTTGATGTCAGTGATGGAGAGTGAAGAGGCATAGCTGTAAATCACCGGGTGAAGATGGCAGTGCGTCGCACTGGGTGTGGACAGCTGCAAGAAACCTGGCTCCATGATTCTACTGGCACAAAGCGATCAGCACATGACTCAGACTAACATCTTGAGCTTGATACAAGTATCACAAAGATTGCAAGAGTGTCAAGAACTGCCGGTGAGCTACTGCATTCTATCATGCAATGCTTCCATCTACCTAAGCATAAAAACCAGAACTGATATTTCACACCCAGCATGCTGCTTCGATCATCTGCTGCAGATGATATGATTGGAGAAATCATTAAACATGGCATCGTTTTATCCATGTCTTCCATTTTCCGCTCTCTCCTTGCCTCTCTTCTTCCCTCATCTCATGATCGCCTACACCACATTTCTCTCGCTAGCACCCTCTCCTCTGAGCTTCTTGACGCTCTGCGATCAGCTTCGGTGCATTCCTAGCGCTCTAGCCCTTCATCTATCCCTTCCTTCCTCTTCCTCAGCTCTCACTATGCTTCCCATCCTCCCCTCCTCCGCCCCCCGCCCTGCCCCCTGCCCCCTCCCCCGTCCCTTCTCCTGTCCTCTCAGCATGACTGCGTGGCACGAGCAACCGGAAATAAACCTCAAAAATTTTATTGTCAATTCTTCTCCTTCTGGTACAGTCATGCTATAAACAAAATGAAAAACACCTCTGAATCAATAAAAAACCAAGGGCTGCAAGTCCGGGAAACCCTTCGGGAAAATGTTCATATCTATTGAATCACAATGGAAATCAATAAAAATATGCTATTTTCACTGTGTCAATGACAATAGACTGTATAAATTTCACAACTCATTCGTTCAATTGAACCTTGAACCGTACTACCGTAACAAACCGGTGACCCGGTCACGGTTCAAAACGGTTCAACGGTCCGTCACGGTGGCAATGCCGCTGGCAGCGCCGCAGTGCGGCGCCGGGCCCGGCCCGGGCCGCGCCCGGGTCCGGCGGCGGGGGGCGCCGGGCGGTACTAGGTCCCTAGTAGTGTCAGGCAGCGGCCGGGTGCCGCCCGGGGCCCTGCGGCACGGCGGGACCGTCTCTCAGTCGGCCGTGGGCGCCGGGCGCCGGGCCCGGCGGTACTGAGGCTAGCCGCGCCCGGCCGGGTGCTAGTCACCAGTACCGTCGTACTGCCGGCCGGGCGGGCCCGTAAGTTGCGCCCGGGCGCGGCGCGGCCGGAGGCTCGGGAAACCGTTGAAAGAGCAACGTCAACTCCTTGCAGGCGGAAAAAGCAGCAAAAGCACTCATATGGGGAATGACAGCAGGCTGAGCTGAGAGACCGTACTGAGAGGCAGGTTGAGCGATGAGAGCGATGGCTCACTGACGGCCGCGGTCATTATGTGCTTCAATGGCGGGGGGCAGGACCAGTCTGATGGTCATAGCCACTGAAGTCCGAGTCTTGCCAGGGTTAAAGAACTTAGAAGACAAAGTGATCTGAGATTTGCAGCTAGCATGGAGAGCTTGTCGAGGCAAGGGGAGGGAGTTTTCCTGCTGATTCGGATATCGGATGATTCGTGTGTAAGCCAGCCTGAGTTTGCTAGACCCCGAAAGTAGCTGGGAGATACTCAAATCTGATAAGTTGCAACTCATCTCCAAGGAAGTTACAACCATGTTATTACACCACAGATCAAGTTGTTCTCTCTCATGCAGGTCGTTGACGGGCTCGCAGATGGGGAACTGTCTATCAGCACATCCGCACGCCAGCGCGAGCCATAAGCTGCGCAAGTTCTACAAGATCCAGGATAACTTCGACACCATCGAGAAGGTGCAGGCAGCTTTGAGAAGCGTGGGACTTGAATCCAGCAACCTCATAGTCGGTATGTTCTTGTGCGTTGAAACATCACAGTGAGAATCTTCACGTGGGCAGGAATCGACTACACAAAATCCAACACTTGGACGGGAGAGAAAACCTTTGGCGGCAAATCGCTTCATACGATAGAGGTCGATCGACCCAACCCATACCAGCAAGTGATTGAAATCATCGGAAGAACGCTGGAAGTTTTCGATGACGACAAGCTGATTCCTGTGTTCGGGTTTGGAGACAATTTCACATCCGACAAGAAGTGTTTTCCTTTCTTCCCTGACAAAAGACCTTGTGAGGGATTCGCCGAGGTCTTACACAATTGCGCAACATGTCGAGCCAACGCTGACAGCCCCGTCAGGTGATCACTCGATACAACGAGATCACGCCAGGTATCGTGCTCGCCGGCCCCACCAACTTCGGTGAGGCGATAAAGAGGAGGAGGAGGAGGAGGAGGAGGAGGAGGAGGAGGAGGAGGAAAGTTCAGCTCATGTCCAACCCTTAGGCCCTGTGATCCGCGAAGCCATCAGCATCGTCAAGTCGGAGAAGTCTTACCATATCCTCCTCATCATTGCTGACGGTCAAGTCACCAACAAGAAGGATACAGAGAACGCGATCGTGGAGGCTTCCAACTACCCGCTTTCAATCGTCGTGGTCGGGGTGGGGGATGGCCCGTGGGAGACTGTGAGAAGGATGAAGATCGCTACAACTCCCGCTAACTCGATGATTCCAGATGGAGGAGTATGACGACGAACTACCAACAAGGTCAGCAGCTGATGATCACCCAGTCCACCACACACTCCAACATTTCAACTGAGATGAGCATTGCATCGCATGTGTTTGACGAGGCGGTTGCAGGAAATTTGACAACTTTCAATTTGTTCCATTCAATCGGGTGATGAGGTGACGCATTTGATGTGGCGCGATCTCATCTCATTCATCTGCTTTCCTCCAGCTCTGTTCCCAGAGGAACAAGTCCAGACGCATACTTCGCGCTCAACGCCCTCATGGAGGTTCCCGAGCAGTTCAAGCTGATCAAGGACTTGCAATATCTGTGAATCCTCCTGGTCCATTCATGAGTATCGTCAGGGATACCTGGCTGACTCCTTGTCTTGAAAACAAGCGAGATGAGCAGAGCTTGCCATAGCTTGATTCATAAGATGCAAGGATGTGTAGGGCAGCTACACCAAGAGAGATGCATGAAGACGCTGGAAGACGCTGCTGATTGGCTTGTGGAAGCGAACAACGGATCGGTTCTACAAATGGAAAACATGAAGTTCCAAGCAATCAGGCGAGATAAAATATTCTGATGCGAGAGACTCGACAAGTATTAGTTTCTCTTATATCTTGATGTTACAATAGTACAACGGTATCGGTGATGACGAGTCCACACATTACAGCCCGTCACAGTCTGCTTCCTCTGCTCTCCGATCCTTCTCAGCAGCTAGCCGGGCAGACAGGATCGCTCAGTCCGCACTGCTTGCAGATTGACATCCTGCCATCTCAGTCAGCACATTTCCAGCTGAGAGCGAGGTGGGATCTTCAACTGCAAGCACTCACAGGGCCTTGCACTGGCTGGGAACTGACTTGTCGTACTTGTGAAGGACCCACTGGTTGGTGGCGTCACAGATCAGGTCCTGCTGGAACGAGCTCTCCTGGGTGAGGTAGGAGGCGTACGCCCTGTGCTGCTGTAAGGACTCGAGGCAGGACAGGCGAGAGATGATAGCGGGGAGAGAGTAAGGACAACACCAAGCAGGCAGGGAAAATCAGAAAGGGAGAGGTATGTGCGTATGCGTGCGGAAGGGGCAGGGGAAGAGGAGGAGGAGGAGGAGGAGGAGCAATCACCACATGCAGATGCACCATGGCCCAGGCTTTGGCCAGTTTTCAGCAGCATCTTGCGGCGACGATGCCTGAGAGCAACCTGTCAGAACTCTCCTCCTCCCTGACATCACCCTGGGGTCCTTGCCTGTCCTGTCTTCACCCAAAAGTCGGAGGGCATGTCGACGCAAACAAAGTGCGAGCCATGGTCCTCGTCCTCTGCCGTACACAGATCCTGTCGCCGCCATCCTACCCACATGTCATTCACAAACGTCTTGCTGGGTCGCCCATTTCCCCCCCCCCCCCCCCCCTTTTCCCCCCCCGCATCTGGCCTTCAAACACATCCAAACACATCCCACTTCGCCTACTCCATTGATCCCTTTCCAGCCAGCAAAACTTTCTTCTTTCCATACCACCGCCACCGCCACCACCTCCTCCTCCATCCTCCTCCTCCTCCTCCATTTCCTCTTGCTACCTGTAGTGGGAAACTTTGGGTCGTTGACCTTGGATCGGTCGCACTTGGCAAGGGGCTGGTTGGCGACGCTCTTGTCTTGTGCGGAGGCAAGTGAAAGGGAGATGAAGATCACGAGCAGAGCTTGACTGTATCCTGCCAAACAACCTCAGAAACAGCAGCTCCTGCAAGTTCATTAGTGACTCGACTTTGGTTGCTTCATACGGCTATCCTACTCGCTCTATCCTCCCCCCCACCCCCGCTGCATTTCCTCTTCTTTCTCGTCATCAAACGTCAACATGATACGCAAATATGTTCCTCCTCCCTCCCCCCTTCTCCCCCTGCTCTCCCAACGCTCTCTCAGAACCTCCTCTCCAGTCGACTACCTGCCATGTTGGCCGCCGGAAATACGCGCTCTTGATTTCCGAGTCCGCCTCGTCTGAGAATCCTTGAAATATTGAGGGCAGACGCCGAATGTCATATAGAACTTTCATGTTGGTCCTGAGGCGGACTCCTACACTTGGCACCTTGAATGTCGAGACTGGATGACCTTGCTGGCTTGATCAGGTGAGATCAGGTGAGATCAGGTGAGATCAGGTGAGATCAGGTGAGATCAGGTGAGATCAGGTGAGATCAGGTGAGATCAGAGAAAAGCTGAGGGCTGACATTCTCATCTGACGAGACATGTCAATGTCGGAGTCGTTTGAAAGACTGCACAAGCGAAAAGATGCTGGTGTTGCTCTTTTTTTTTAATTCGTTCCAGAAGTTAAGTTCCTTCACCTCTAACAACTCACAATGCGGGCGTGGTGTAACTTACGAAAGGTTTCAGAAGCAGGAGTGAAGACGGGCAGCCTGGATGTATAGGCTCTTTCCAAACATGCAGTCTCTTGGTTGTCACTTCATGCACTTAATGCCGCAAATATGCACACTCCTCTTCGAATATATCTCCTTTCATCATCCTGGTCCCTCACTTCCCCGAAGCTCGATCCCCAGCGCGTTCACCACTCGTGGCCTCTCCTCCCGAGTAAGCAGCTCGATGCAGTGCTGCAGCGCCTGGAGCTGCTTTGCTCGAAATGACGGCACTGAAGCCTGATGGACGTCATATTCTTGCACGGAGCAGGGAGGCCTCTTGTGAGGAGAGGAGAGAGAGTCGATGGAGGAGAGGGTGTCGTAGTCGTCGACGAGAGCTGAGCTGAGGATGAGGCTGTCGTCGATGTCGAGCATGCTTGCTTGCAGGTTGTTGTGCGGATTAGCGGTTGAACCTCCCCGTTCACGAAAGGAGATCTTTTCGGTTTGTTTCCCCTTGCATGGTACAGCTTAACTTTTACTCTACACGGAGTAAGATACCGACAGAATCGAAACGTTGCATGTTTGAGCTATGGTATCTTTTGGTTAAAACTGGAAGTGTACTCGGCCCGCCTCGAATGTGTCGCCAGTTTGCTTCCAAAGATTGCGGCAATGCAGCAGTGAAAACGAGGATCATAGATGTGTTCACTTCCTCATTGGCATTGAAATGATACAAGTGATGGTTAAGTAGATTCTTGGTTGGCATGCTGATATGCTAAACCCACCCACATACGCCCGACTCCCCGACTTAAGTTGTTGTACACAACGCCAGATTCAGGGAGTCGAGCAAGTCGAGATTAGATCATTTCCCGATGAAGACGATGAAAACGTCAATGCTGTGTCAAGAGAACCGAGAGTTTTGTACAATCTCTTCATTACATCAAGTACATATGGCTATTCTACATCCCTCCTCATATCACTTACATCCCGTTTCATGCGCAATTCCCGTCCTTTCATATATTCATAGCTCCATCTCGATCCCCAGCGCGTTCACCACTCGTGGCCTCTCCTCCCGAGTAAGCAGCTCGATGCAGTGCTGCAGCGCCTGGAGCTGCTTGGCTCGGAATGACGGCACTGAAGCCTGATGGACGTCATATTCTTGCACGGAGCAGGGGGACCGCTGGCTGGGAGAGGAGAGAGAGTCGATGGAGGAGAGGGTGTCGTAGTCGTCGACGAGAGCTGAGCTGAGGATGAGGGAATCGTCGATGTCGAGCATGGTGTGCGATGGTCCGTTGGTGCTTGTATGCGAGAAGGAGGTAAACAAGGACAGTCAAGTAGTGGTCGGAAGGGGAATAGTCGACCTCCCTGTTCGCGAAAGAAGATCTTTTCAATTTAATGATGACATTCATCAACCTTTGCAGAGTACCGCTCAACGTTTACTCAAATCAGAGAATGTCAGCATCTCGTGATCAATGTCGCTAACACGCAGCGATTCGAGCCCCGTTCGCAACGTTACGGTCATCAGTCGCATTCTGCTGTAAGCTCTGAAGTAAGCTCAATGAATGTAGAGCCTTCGAGATCGCCAAGAAGTCGTCATCACGACATGATGACAGTCAGCCTGACGGCGTCCAGGCACGCGGCATGTGACCCGGCCGCCGGCCGTGACCGGCCGGGCACTGCAGTGCCAGTCCGGCGGCCGCCCCGGCGGCGGGCCGCCCGGCCGGGCCGCACTTCGAGCCTGCCTCAGTGCCCGGCCCGGCCCCCTGCGGGGCCGCTGAGTGAGGCCGCGAAACTTGGCACACTGAGAGTATACTGCGGCAGTCACGGGCCCAAAACGGCGCCGGTCCGATCATGACCCGGCAAACGGTTCCGAGTTCCGAATCATGAATGGCCTCAAGGTTACTGCCAAAGTTGAGTTGATAAAGATCTGATCGGATCAGTACGAGGCTGAGGACACTGCGACAATCAGGAGAGTCGACTCACCGGGCCGTCTGAGGACGGACTCGGCCTGTCAGCGCCGCGGCGCCTTGACTCTCACTGCCTGAGTCAGAGGGCGGCTTGACACTCCGAGCTCAGTGGCTCCGACCCGGCTCGGACTGTGGTACCCGCCGGGCCCCGGCGGCCCCGCCGCGGCCCGGCGGCCCGGCGGCCGGCGCCCGCCGAGTCACTGACCGTACACACTGAGTGACAGCGGCCTGTTCACGGTTGACGGCCGACGGTACGGCTCGGATACTAGGCCCTGAGGCGGCGTCACTCAGCCGTCCGACGGTCACTCCGACAGGCTAAGGGGATCGCCGCCGTGGCAGCGCCCGGCCAGGCCACAGCCTGCCTCGAGGCCCGGTGAGTCTGACTCCGAGGGCCGCGCCGGTGATTGAGCCATCATCCCAGCCCGAAGTGACTCTTGGCCGCGGTCGGCGCCGCTGTCACAGACTGACAGCCTGGCCGCAGCCCGGCCCGGCCCGCCGCCGGCCACTCCCGGATCGGTCCGTCCGGCCCGGCCCGGCGGGCCTCAGTCCGAGTCGGCGGACTCGGACCGTCTGCGGCCCGGCTGGGCCGCGGCCGTCACTGTAACTGAAAGAAACCGTCGGTGTTATCATATTGTCGCATGCTTGGGGTACTGAGCTTGCGTGTTGCAGGAGGCGAGAGGAGGGAGAGGAAGAAGGAGAAGGAGAATGAGAATGAGAAGGAGAAGAAGAGGATGGCGTGAGCAGAGAGGGACGGAGGGGGCGGAGGGACGGACAGGCATCCATCCAGCCAGCCAGCCAGCCAGCCAGCCAGATAGCGACAGAGGGATGCACGGGGTTGAGGAGAGGAGGGGAGGGGAGAGACGAGACGAGACGAGACGGAGACGAGACGACACGAGAGGGGTTATGGAAGAAGGATGGATGATTGGTAGAAAGATTTCAAAACATAAACAATCTGATTGGAACATAGCATGGTGTCAATGAAAACATACACAGTGAAATGACGTATAAGGGGGAAGATAAAGGCTATGATACATGTCCTCACCGCTCCCTTCAGATGCTGCACGCCAGGTCGAGTCTCTGCGCGTTGACTTCTCTCTCCCTGGTGGCGTCGAGCTTGGCCAAGGTGTGTACCACATTGTTCGCAAGCTAGGGAATTCTGACGTGGCTGCAGAAGGTAGAGGAGGCAGGCTTTGACTGGCAACATCACGGAAACGGAGACATTATCCTGGACACTCGCATTCGAGACTGGGTGAGCATGTGAGACTTTCGGCTGCCTGGCTGACTGGTCATGATCAGGTGCTGATCCCGATCTTTATCATCATGATCTTCTTCACTATGCTGAGAGAGCTCGCGGGAAAGATGATGAACGCAACTTCTACCCCGGTAGCTTCTTGAACCCACCGGATGCGTTGATGCCATGTCCATCTCGTATAACGCTCTGACTTGTCTCATCGCATGTTCCCGTTCCCGCGTGTCTCCTTTACGTGAGATGTTGGTTGGCAGGAGATCAAGGCGTTCAAGGAGACTCAAGCGTTGACTCGGTCACAGCTCGTCAGGTCACACTGCTACTGGCTCACAGAGTCTTCCTTCATGCGTCGAAAAGCGTTCTACACTGACAAGGTGAGGAACAAAATCTCGCTTGCTCTCTTGCCGTCTTTTTTTGTTCTCTTGTTCTCTTTCTATCTTGCTTCTCGTGTCTTGTCTGCATGTTACTCGATTCATTCTGCAACCATTTTCTTGTCATTCAAACTTGTTCTGCACATGTAAGTGATGTGATGACTGTCAGGATCGAGGCGTCTTCAGTGACCCCAACGTCACCAAATCAGAGAAAGATCCTCTCGCCATGATGTCAGACCCTTCAATGATGATGCAGCAGCAGAAGTCAATGTTCACTGTCATGCTGCCCCAGGTCTCCTCCCTCCTCCTCTACCTTTCTCTTCCTCTTCCTCTCTCTCCCTCTTCCCCTCGTCCTCCCCTTTCTCCCTCGCCCCCTCTTCGACTGACTGTCGTCGAAGATGGTCATGATGGGGCTGATCAGCTACTTCTTTTCCGGGTCAGGAGGAGGAGGAGGAGGAGGAGGAGGAGGAGGAGGAGGGGAGAATGTGAAGGGTAACAAGAAGGAAGTGAAGAAAGTATCAAGAGAAGGAGGTGGAAAGAAGAAGTCGAGGAAAGGAAGGCAGAGATCAGGGGGATGGGTGGAAAGAAAACAGTGGAACAAGAGAGCAAGGAGAGATAGGAGGAGGAAATGGAACGGCGAGAGAAGGATCAGGGAGAAAAAACAGGAGCAGGAGCAGTAGCAGGAGCAGGAGCAGGAGCAGGAGCAGGAGCAGGAGCTTGAGGGAATATTACCGACTTACTGGGCGTTAGATTTGTCATGGTCAAGATTCCTCTTCCTCTGTCCCTCAAGTTCAAGGTGAGTGTGTTAGAGATGCTGGGCGGAGGATGACAGAAGCATCAAGGCGATGACGCAAAGAGGGATCGAGCTCTCCTCTCTCGACGTCACCTACGTCTCCTCCTTCTCATGGTCTCTACTCCTTCCTCCTCCCCTCCTCCTCTCTACTCCTCCCTCCGTCTCCTCCTCGCTCCTCCTCGCTCCTGTCCCTCTCCCC